TGGCAAAAGGGGATGCTTGCTTTGCGGGACGCAAGCTCTGCAGCCCTCCCGCCGAGGAACGCACCGCTTTTGGGGGTCGTTTGCAGGACTCCGCCTCGTCCATTGGGACTCTCCAAGCCGTGACGGGCTGTTTGTAAGCCCGGGTAGCAAGGCAGGAGGACATCAGGCTGTGGAGCCCCGCAGGTAAAATTGGAAGAGGCTCAAGATTTTAGCACTGCACTGTGCGAAGCGAGCACCAAAGGAACAAGCAGAACGCCCCCAAAACCCAACCCCCCCCCCCCCCACACCTGCTCCTGCAAGGGGGAAAAAAAAAGGCAATACATGATTGTAAGGGATGTTTTATTGCCCGTATCATAAAACTAGGGAGATTTTGAGGTCAAAGGAGCAACTTTCAATCTCACCTGAAATAATAAACCTAAAAATAAAAATAGATACGTTTTTACTAATAACCACAAATCTCAACTGTTCCACCCAGAAGGAGCAGTATACTTCACTGATACGTTAAGACAAACAAAAAACCTGTTTATATGCTGCAGAAATTTATCTTGTTTCTTTAGAATTGTTGTCAGTAATGATTTTTTGGGGGGGCAGAATAATTTAAGAAAATAGAGATTTGGCTGTTATGAATATTTCTTGTGAGGCAAGATTTCATTTTGCATAGTAACTATTATACACCTTCAACAGAGTAAAACTTCCTCCCGTTTCAAACAAAGAAAAAAACCATTTTGGGGGGGCATGAGTATATACAGCTATTTGCAGACATTCACTTGCAGCGACTGAATTCGAACGAGAGAGCAATATTATATCATCCCTTTTCAAGTTCCTGTTTTGCTACAGGGCATTTGGTATCTCTGGGGAATTGTGTTTGCATAAAGCAGTGTACTAGAAAGATATCCAGATCTGTTTTAAACGTGTAGATCTATAAGACTTTATATATATAAAGAGCATAGAATTCTGCCATTCCTCTTGGTACTTTATTTGAATGGCTAGTTCTTGCGGTTAAAAAAACTCCTTTTTAAATTTAATGGCCTTCTGCTTCTGGTCACTGGTTCCTGTACATTTTTCTGATAGCCGTTTCATAACTCACAGTTCCTTCCTGTGAAGCTATAAAGTATGATCAAATTACCTCATGGTATTCTTTCAACCTGTATTCACAAGAGAGTCCCCCCTTGTGCCCATATGTTGGCATTTCCTGTTCTTGATCTAATTTTTCACTTCACTGCATTAAAATGCTATTTTTAAAAAAATTAGTATCATAATCGTTATTTCTCCTTTCACCCATTTTCCATAGTTAAGTCTAGATTTACTTTCAGATCGCCAATGAAGCATTAATTAGTAGTGGATGTGCTACCAAACTCTGTGCAAACACACCAAAGCGATGCCAGTCAGCCAGGCTTGTTTATAACGTATCAGCCGCTGGTGCTGATATTTCTGGGCCACTGAGATTCGATAGGAAACTAACAATGAGGAGGAACTGGTCTTTCTTGACACCCTTCCGACTGAGATCTGTGACCGATGATCACGTAGGTCATTCAGCAGGTTGCTTAGAAGGTTTTTTTTCCTCTTGCTCTTTATATATTCACATTTTTAAGGAACTAGTTCCAATTCTTATACGAATGGCTTTTACTGCAATTTTCTGCTTTCATTTCTCCTGCCATTTTAATTTTTCCATTTTTTTTAAGGAGCTGGAACTACTTATTGGAGTAATGGCTTAGATTTTTTTTTTCAGTCTTAGCTTTTGCCATAGGCTGACACATGCCTAAGATACTGAAAGTGGTAAAACCATTTAGATGTTTATTTTAATTCAGATAGTTTATTAATAAAAGTATCTTAACACATCAAGGGTACCTCTTAACATGTTATTTTTAGTAACATACTGCTCTCATAGCTGTTTCTTAATGTTAACTAGGATTGCTAATAACATAAAAATCTCTTAGCATTTTTGGAGAATTTCATGAAGTGGGCCATTGCAGCATATCGAATATTGATTCTGTTTTGAGGAAGTCTTTAGTTCTTGTTCCTTCAGCAGTTTCATTTCTTGTCCCGGGTTTTGACTTTGAGTTTACTGTCAATTATAGAAGGTTGGTATCTTTCTCTTAAAAAAAAAAGGAGGGGAGGCAAAAAACACAGAAGAAAAGCCCCGTAAAGTGCAACATAACTTTAGATCTTATGATGGCTTTCTTCGCTGTAGCTACTCAAGCTAGATTTAGGAAAGTAATAACTGTAGATAGCGTTTAATATTTTTGGCTAACGGCATAAAGTGTCGTACTGAAAGAGACTGCCTCTGAGTCATTGTGTCTCATTCTCCTGCTGTTGCAAATCTGACTCAAGACATTTCTTGATGAAATCATACATAATTTACCTACGGAAGTGAAGCAAAACATAGGGAAAATACAATCTTATTTTCTGTTTTCTCAAAAAAAAAGTTGCCTAGAAAGTTGTCTGATTTTAGTGACTTGACGTCATCTCTCAGATTGTATTAATTCGTGGCTCCTCTTTCCGCCTGATGAGACGGAGCCGTCTAGCCTAGTCTGGCTTTTCACTGTCAGCAGAAAACGGTCTAGTGGTTCAAACCGTGACTGGATCTGTCGCGGACGCTTGAAGGACAAGGAAGCGCCGCTGCTGGGGCGCACGGCGGCCGGGAGCCCCACGGCGCCTAGCCCGCTCCGCGCGGGTCAGCTCAGGCCGGGCCACGGCGGGGGAGGGGCTCTCCCCTGG